TTAAGTCTATCCTTATACCAGTGTTATACAGTCTTCGTAACAATAGCTTTTTTTTAAAATCGTTTTATTAGGGCCTCATACAACTCTTATCAAAATCCATACGTACATCAATTGTGTAAAGCACATTTGTACATTCACTGCCCTCAGCATTCTCAAAACATTTCCTCTCCACCTAAGCCCCTGGCATTAGTTCCTCATTTTTCCCCTCCCTCCCTGCTCCCCCCTCCCTCATGAACCCTTGATAATTTACAAATTATTATTTTGTCATATCTTGCACTGTCCGACATCTCTCTTCACCCACTTTTCTGTTGTCCGTCCCCAGGGAGGAGGTTATATGTAGAGCCTTGTATTCGGTTTCCCCTTTCTACCCCACCCTCCCTCTACCCTCCCAGTATCGCTACTCACACCACTGGTCCTGAAGGGACCATCCTCCCTGGATTCCCTGTGCTTCCAGTTCCTATCTGTACCAGTGTACATCCTCTGGTCTAGCCGGATTTGTAAGGTAGAATTGGGATCATGATAGTGTGTGTGTGGCAGAGGGGAGGGGGGCGCAGGGGGTGGTGGTGGAGAGCTAGGAAGCATTTAGGAACTAGAGGAAAGTTGTATGTTTCATCGATGCTACATCACACCCTGACTGGCTCGTCTCTTCCCCGAGACCCTTCCGTAAGGGGATGGCCAGTGGCCTACAAATGGGCTTTGGGTCTCTACTCCGCACTAACCCCCTCATTCAAAATGGTATGATTTTTTGTTCTGATGATGCCTGATACCTGATCCCTTCTACATCTCGTGATCACACAGGCTGGTGTGCGTCTTCCATGTGGGCTTTGTTGCTTCTGAGCTAGATGGCCGCTTGTTTTCCTTCAAGCCTTTAAGACCCCGGACGCTGTATCTTTTGATAGCCATCAGCTTTCTTCACCCCATTTGCTTATTCACAAGAACGATAGCTTTGGAGTAAGTTTGAATTCAGAAGATGAGTCCTCCAGCTGTGTTCTTCTGTTTGAAGATTGTTAGGGCTGTTCTTCAGGAAGGAACCCTGATGGTGAGGTGGTCATGCATTGGGCTGTTAACTGCCACATCAGCAGTTCAAACCACTAGCCACTCTGAGGGAGAAAGATGAGGCTTTTATTCCCGGAAAGAGTTGCTGTCTTGTGGAAACCCCCAGGGACTTGTCCCACAGCTTCCCTATAAGCCAGCATTGATTCAGTGTAATGAGTGAGTGACTTATGGCTATTCTGGGTACTTTTCATTTCTGTATTAATTTTACAATCAACTAGAAATGTCTTCATAGAAATCAACTGAAGTTTTGCTATTTGCGTTGAATCTATAGAATGATTTGGTGAGTATTACCATTTTGACAATATTAAGTATTTCAACCCATAGACATGGGACATCTTTATTTATTTGCATCTTCCTTAATTTCTTTCAAAAATATTTTCTTTTTATTCCTAAGTGTATTATTTACATTTGGTTGGCCAGACTAAATTGTGTCAGACAGCCTCATCGTTCTTCCTGGACTTGGCTTTGCAGGTAGTATCATGATATTCAGCCCTCAGTGCCTCTAGGGCTCCTTACAGTGCTGAAACTCAAAAAATAAAACTAAAAAACAATCCCAGTGCCATCAGGTAGATGCCGACTCAGAGTGACCGTATAGGACAGGGTGGAGCTACCCTGTGAGTTTCTGAGACTGTAACTCTTCTTGGGAGTAGGAAACCCTGTCTTTCTCACTCAGAGTGACTGATAGTTTGAGTGACTGGCCTTTATGATTGAAGTCCAATGGGTAACCAAGTGACAAATGCAGACCTTTTTCTCTTTTTCCTGGTTCTAGGGGGAAAACTGAGTTTTCAAATGATCAAATGATCAGATTGAAGAGGTTCTTCTGTTTAAGTTTGATGAGTACTTTTACCCCAAAGTGTTGTTTGGATTTTGTCAAATGCTTTTGGTGTCTTTTAGGAGATTCATGTAGGAATCCTATAGGCTCTCTCTGAGTCAGCCTCACATTGATGGTAGTGAAGAGTTAAAAATCCTGGTGGCACAGTGGTTAAGCACTTGGCTGTTAACTGAAAGATCCGTGGTTGAAACCCTCCAGCTGCTGCTCAGGACACAGATGGTGGCCATCAGCTTTTGAAAGATTGATAGCGTTGGAAACCCTACTGGGCAGTTCTTGTCTGCCACACAGGGTTGCTAGGAGTCGAAATAAGCGGTTCTCAACCGGTGGGTCGCGACCCTTTGGGGGGATCACCATCACATGAGGAACTGTGTTAAAGGGTTGCGGCATTAGAAAGGTTGAGAACCACTGGTCTAAATTGAACCCAAGACAGAAGATTAAGATGTTCATGTAGTTTTTGTTTTGTTGGTATGGTCCAATGTTTCAACCCTGATAATAACCCTATTTACAACAGAATGACTTTGTCCTGCCCTCAGAAGCCCTGCTATGTTTGAGTCTCTTGTTGCAGTTACTGTGCCATTCCATCTCATTGAAAGGATCTTCCTCAGTGGTGTTGACCAGCCCAGGGACAAGGGAGCAACAAGTAATCCAAAACTAGTGGCAAGGAGGTTGTGAGAGGCCTGGTAGGGATTCAGCAAGGGCAATGTAACCGAGAGGAATTACTGAAACCCAAATGAAGGCTGAGCATGATAGTGGGATAAGAGGAAAGTAAAAGGAAATAGAGGAAAGAACTAGGAGGCAAAGGGCATTTATAGAGGTCTAAATACAGGCATGGGCATATGTAAATATATTTATATAGGATGGTAGGGAAATAGATCTAAGTGCATATATTTATAGGTTCAGTATTAAGGCAGCAGATGGACATTGGACCTCCACTCAAGTACTTACTCAATGAAAGAACACTTTGTTATATTAAATTGGCATTCCATGATGCACACCTTCCTGACATGATTGCTGAAGACAAATGTGTGCATAAGCAAATGTGGTGAAGAAAGCTGATGGTGCCCAGCTATCAAAAGATATAGCGTCTGGGGTCTTAAAGGCTTGAAGGTAAACAAGCGGCCATCTAGCTCAGAAGCAACAAAGCCCACATGGAAGAAGCACACCAGCCTGTGTGACCACGAAGTGTAGAAGGGACCAGGTATCAGGCATCAAATAACAAAAAATCATATCATTGTAAGTGAGGGTGAGTGCAGAGTGGAGACCCAAAGCCCATCTGTAAGGCAACTGGACATCCCCTTACAGAAGGGTCACGGGGAGGAGACGAGCCAGTCAGGGTGCAGGGTAGCAACGATGAAACTTATAACTTTCCTCTAGTTCTTAAACGCTTCTTCCCCCCGACTATCAAGATCCCAGTTCTACCTTACAAATCTCGCTAGACCAGAGGATGCACACTGGTACAGATAGGAACTGGAAGCACAGGGAATCCAGGACAGATGATACTGTCAGGACCAGTGGTGAGAGTGGCGATACTGGGAGGGTAGAGAGTGGGTTGGAAAGGGGGAACCGATTACAAGGCTCTACATATAACCCCCTCTCTGGGGGATGGACAACAGAAAAGTGGGGGAAGGGAGAAGTCAGATAGTGTAAGATATGACAAAATAACAATAATTTATAAATGATCAAGGGTTCATAAGGGAAGGGGGAGCAGGGAGGGAGGGGGAAAAATGAGGAGCTGATATCAAGGGCTCAAATAGAAGCAAAAGTTTTGAGAATGATGATGGCAAAAAGTGTACAAATGTGCTTGAAACAATGGATGTATGTATGGATTGTGATAAGTGTTTTATGAGCCCCCAATAAAATGATTAAAAAAAAAAAAGAAACTGCATGTGGAAGCAAAACACCAAAATATATTCTAAGCTTTGCTACCAAAAAAAAAAAAACTTCCTCTTTTTCTTTGACTTTCTTTGGCTCCTCTTATAAAATAACTTCTCCTTTAACCTTCCTATGAGATGGCTTTAAAAATTCATGGAAGATTCCATTATCTTTTAATTTAATTTTCCACTCATGTTATTTGCTTGTTTCTCCTATTTTGCCTCTCCTGCCCTATATATACCCTTGTCCCAACCTTTCCTGCTGCACCGTCTCCCCCCGCCAGCCCCCAACTGCTATTAGACTTACCAACTGCTATTAGACTTCTTGAAGTTAGGGATGTTGTCTATTTTATTCATTGTTATGCCTATACTAGGGCCTAGATTACAGAAGAGCCTCTAAATATTTGCTGATTGAGTTTGTAAGAGAAAGAAATTCATAGGCTTACAAACTTAGCACTTAAACCTTGAGTGTTGCATGGCAAACGGAAGTCGAGGTAGGTAATCAGAGTCAGACCGAGGCTCCTGCTTGCAGCCCAGCACATCAGACTGTCCCCCTGTGGGAACAGGGGACTTTGTGCAAATCTTCTACCTAAGAAATTAATGTAAAAATTAGTCTCAGAAGCAAACAACGGTGCCAGTAATGCTTGGACCATCCAGGACTCTTGGCATGCTCATAGAAAAATGGTCTTTCCTGAAGATAGGTATTATAAAAGAAGATTATGAAGCACACAGAGTGGCTCGCCAAGAGGGAGGGGCAGTTGACTCAGCAAGTCTGAGGATTGTTGCATCCAAACCTCCCGTGAACCGGTCTGCAATAAACCCTAAGACAAGTGCTTACAATGATTTAAGAGCTAACAGGAGGGATAGAGCCAGAGTGAGTGGATAGAAGCCCTCTTCACACCTTCAGGAGGGACGAGGACAGGCAGGTTAGAAGAAGAATCAGGTAGAACTTGTTTACAGGGTGACACATAGAATCACTGAATATAGACTCGCCACGTGACGAGTTCAGCAGGCATATATAGTTTAGGAGAACGCATGCATTGGAAGCTGGATCTGAGGGGTTGACCTACCATGGCAATGTCTTAGCTGCAAGCTTGTTATTCCGTCCCTTTTAATTGGGGTGAGAGTTCTGCCCATTCAGGAAAGAAACCTGCTAAGTCAAGGTGATGTCCCCTCTGACTAAGCCTTGCCACGTTTACTGGGGTCAAAGTCTACAACAGCCTGTTCTTTCTCTTTTCAAGGACGAATCACCTGGATTTTCCACTGAGAAACTTAAGAATAATTGATCCACACGAGGTGTTGTACTCAGATCCAGGTGCAGAAGCAGGTAATAACTTTGCCTGTAAATTAGGTTGAAGATTTCAAGGATTTCCGACCTCTCTTCCCTTCCACCCCAGCTCACTACCAAGTTGGGAGAGAAGCGAAGGTAAGATGTTCGTGTTTGAGCAAGGCTCAGGGTGAGGGGAATTGTATCTAGAAATTAAAAGTCATTTTGTCCTTTGGCTTTCTGGATGATTGGTTACTGTTTCTATAGTACAAGTGTTTACAACCTTTTAAGGTAGTAAGTTGGAGAATTAGATTTTTGGGGGGATATATTTTTCTTCCAGGGAAGTGGGGATAGGTTAGTATTGAAAAAACACTATTCTGATTTTTCTAATATTTAATATAGCCCTTTTCTAATTTCTAATATAGGCCTTTATTGAATGCTAGAGATTAGCATCCAGTTTTCATTGCAATGTTAGGAAATGAGGAAGGTTTATAATGTTATTGCCCTTCGTAAATCCAGTTTGCATTTTACTTACTGCTATTGAGTCAGTTCCAACTTTTTGACTCATATCAACCCTATAGGACAGGGTAGAACTGCCCCTGAGTTTTTGAGATGACTGTAACTCTTTATAGGAATAGAAAGCCCTGTTTTTCTCCCTCGGAGCGGCTGGTGGTTTAGAACTGTGGACCTTGCAGATCTCAGCCCAACGCATAACCACTATGCCACGGGGGCAATTAGTTTGCATTTAGGAAAGTGTTTTATTTTTGGTGGGGGTGGGGTGGGCACAGTTTCTGTGACCATGCCATTTTCCCAGAACTTGAGTTACCAGAAACATGAATTTTGAATAAGAGGTGTTTTGCTGAATTTCATTCCCAGGTAAACCCCTGTTTTTCTATAGACTTCCTCCCCAGGAGAGCCACAGCATTTCCTTTTAACTAGTGAAAAATCAAAAGTTCAGAAAAAAATATCATGACTGTCCAGTTATTCTTTGGAAGCTCTCTGCTATAATTGCGTGCGATTTTAGGTTTTTTTCTTTAAAAAGTTTGATTGTTTCCAACAGCATTTGGCCAGATTTGGCGGAAGGGGCAAAAGGGGAAGGAAAGAAAGCAAAGGAAAAAGATCATCAGCTTTAGAGTCGGAAGAGGACCTATCCTTTTAGTGCTTCCGTTTACTGAGCGTGAAGAAGTGCAGGCTCAGGGTGTTTCAGTTGTCCCAGTTGTAGACCCCAACTGGAAAGCAGAACCCATCTATTTGGATTCCTTTGACCTTAAAATGTTTTAGGCCTCTTAGACCTTCGGTAACATGGGGCAGTAGCACATGGAGCCAGGGATCGGATAGACCTTGGGTCTGGTTCCTCTGCGACTTGGACAAGTATTCACCTCGTATTATTCCTTTATCTATAGAATGGGAAGAGTGATCAGTTCCTTAGAAGTTATTGTGGAAAACTAACCACTGAGGCATGTAAAGCCCTCAGCTCTTGCTCCGCTCTAGGACAGAGGGACTGAGCTATGGAGGCTGGAAGAGCATCCGGCATCTGCACATGTTCAGATCACACAGGTTGTAGTAAGACAGCCCAAGGCAGGGAGGAAATCCAGCTGGTGCTTCAGATCCAAATTCGCCTAACTTCCAAAGTACCTAAAATGCACCAGATGCTCTGCTGAGTGTTCTTGCTCATCTTATCTTGTCAATCTTCCCAGCCACCCAGACAGGTGATGGTGTGGCACTTTTCATGTACTTATAAGCAGTGATAAGTCTGGGGTGTTAGAAAGGCTGGGACTTCATTCTAAGGCAGACCGTCATATGCCAGAGACTTATATGAGTCATCCTCTGTAAGCCATGAGTTAAACGTACCTGGCAGTATATGAGCTCATGTTACATCATTCAGTGGACCTGTTGCTCTTAGCTTCCCACTTCCTTGCATACCCTGCTCAGCTCTTGGCCGCTCCTAACATTTAATGGGATGAGGAATGAGCAGATGCAATAATACATCTCGTAAGATGCTGCCTTTCCGTCTTCTCTTAGAGATGGCCACAGACCCAAAGTGGTGGCATTGATTCAGCGGTCTCTGGTGGAGCATGTGCTACACACTGCCTGTTGTGCTGTGTGCTAAGTGTTAGGTCCTGAAAGGAGGACACAGAGGAAGATGACAGGGTGTCTGCCCTAAAGAGAAGCAGTGTGTGCTCTTGCTATCCCACGCACCACCAGCAGTGCATTCGTGGTTCGTTTGTGTTAACTATGAAGTTAGAAGAGGAGCTGATGCCGGGGCTTAAGTGGAGAGCAAATGTTTTGAGAATGATGAGGGTAACGAATGTACAAATGTGCTTCACACAATTGATGCATGCATGGATTGTGATAAGAGTTTATGAGCCTCCAATAAAATGATTAAAAAAACAAAACAAAACTATGAAGTTAGTTAACTCTTAATAATCATTATGTGGCACAGCTATTTGTGAATGCTTTTCATTCGATAACTTAATTCTCAGAAAAATGACAATACGTGGCTCTACCAGCCATGACTTCGGCCACCTCTATCTGGCTGCCTTTCCACCTCCATGGCTGGGTCTGCAGCTATCTGACAATTCAGTCACTCTCCAGGTCTCCTGCCCTTGTGGCTCCAGCTGCCTCGGCCACTGATCAGCGTTGTGTTCATCTCAGCGGCAACCGCCACCCTGGGGACAAGCAGTTCCCTCCCTCACCCACCATGGCGGCCCTCTCCACCTCCGCTGACCATGGCGCCTCTGCTCATCACATCCCGTTTGTGGCGTGTGGTGGTGCTCCCAGTTCTTCCAAGGTTGGGCGGGATAGGTGACAAAAGAGTGGCTGCGTCTGACCAGTTTCATTCGAGGGGCAGGAAAGAGGAGGAGTGATGAAGAGGCAAGATATGCAGAGCTGTGGCCTGCGCAGGTGGCATGGTGGAGAGACGTAGGAAGATGCCCCAAGAGTGGAGGGAGGCTCAGGATGCTGATGATTCTGAGGAGCCTGAACCCTCCTGCAGGAAGAAGAATGTGATGATGTGGCAGGAGATGGGGATGGAGACAGGGACTGGTGACCAGGAAGCACAAATATCTTTGCCAGGTTCTACATTTTTCCTTTGATGCTTTTCAGTTTGTCATCGATTATGTTGACTTTAGTGATGAAGCGATTGGTGATGGTGGTACATAGGACAACAAGCGCTTCTCATGGGTGGATGCACCCCTAGTCGGTGCCATCCAAAGCCTTGAGGCAAATTGTGTCCAAATAGAATGCAAATTCTAGAAGGAAGTTAATGATCTTAGGGAAAATATATTGGCATCAACCATATATTGAAGGCCCCAGTGACACTGAGCGTTAAGCCTCAGGCTGCTGCCCATTAGGTCAGTGGTTCAAATTTACCAGCCACCCTGCAGGAGAAAGATGAGGCTGTCTGTTTCTCTGAAGATGTACAGTCTTGGAAACCTTAAAGGAAAGGTATTCTCTGGGGTCTCAATGAGTCAGAATTGACTCAGTGGCAGTGGGCTTGGTGGTGCAGTGAGTTAAGCCACTGGGTTTGAACTCACCAGCGTCTTTGTGGGAGAAAGATGAGGCAGTCTACTTCTGCCCACATTCACAGGCACATTACATCAACCCCACAACTCTTCCAGGATCCCTATGCATTGGAATAGACTTGATGGCAGTGGGCTTGGGGGCCCAGTGGTTAAGCATTGGGCTGCTGACCGAAAGATGAGTGCTGTGAACCCTGTGAAGCGGGTTGCTTGGCTCTACAAGTCCAAGTGACTCGACAGTAATGTTCTTTGTGTGTGTGTGATGAGGATCAAATTTGCTTTTTAAAATTAGATTAATTAAATTGGAGGTTCCCCAGGTAGTTCTGATGTGCAGCCAAGGGGAAAATATTGCTCCAGAGAAAGCTTTCATTTTGTTCTACTCTTTAAGAATTTAAATTGCTCAGAAACATGATATATGTGTCTTCTGCAGCTCTTGCAAGATCAGTCAAGCTTTCCAGTGCTGGCAGGCTTATGAGAGCACAGTAGGCTTTTTATTGATTTGTTGGACGGCGGTGGTTAAAATAACTTCATTCAATAATCAGTTGTTAATGTTTACCCCGATTGACCTTAGGTAACCCATGTATAGAGCTTTATTTGGTGAATTTTCATTTTCCTTATTATCTGGACAACTTGCTGAGCCTGGTGTCAGCATGCCCATGTGGCATGCCAATGTCCTTCATGGCCAGTTCCAGATCTCCTTGAGTGTGGAACATGCTTCTTAAAGCTCTGTTTCTTGATGAATTGTGAATGTTGATGGGGTATGCTCTGGACACCTCTTCTTGATGGCAGAACGATCCTTCTTATCTCGCCTCCATTGTTTGCAGGAGCCATTTAACCCAGGTGACAGGAGGCTCAGAGCAAAGTGGGCAAGCCAAGTTCTCCCTCTTAGACTTGGCATCACTCTGCTGTGCTTGGGATGTTTCTGGATACAGACGGTCCAGTGAGGGTCCTGTAGCTCTGGTCTAGTCAAAGCCAACCCAGCTAGCCCAGGGCCCGGCATCTCCAATACGCTTCTTTTAGCCTCCATTGGAGGTGTTGACTTATAAACTTAGTTATTTCTGATCCGTTTTTCCTTTGAAAAGCAAGGAATTCCAGGCTCAGTCCATTGGGCAAAAGGAAAACTTGCTCCCTGCTAAGTATTCAAAAGGAGCTGGAATGCAAAGGACACAAACATGTCGGAATCCTAAGTGCGATGGTTTCCAGTGACTCATTCTTTGAGTACTTGGGTACTTTGTCAGTCACGTGTATGGTATCTCACGGGGAAACCCATTGGAGATAGCCATCCATGGTGACTGAGAACAGAAGCTCCAGGTGCTAGTGATGATGAAGGGAAAGAAGCAAACGGAACATTAAAGTTAAGTGACCCAAAGGAGATGCCTTCTTCAGCAGGGGCACAAGTCCCAGGGAGTTTGGGGTATGAATCCTGGAAGATAATCCAAGTAATGACTTCAGAGTAACTCTCCATTACTTGCCTCATTATGCATTAGAATGGCCTAGGTACAGTAAAAGCTTTTTGTTTTAAAAAAAGAATTGGAAACATTTATTCTATTCTGATTTTTAATAGTATACTTGGTGCCATTATTGGGATAGAGTAAATTATGGATAGTCACTGATGTCTAATTGGTTTATTGTGAAGTCATTTTCTATAAGCATGGGGCTACAGCTATGATGTTTATCAGAACCGTTAACTAAGGTCAATATTTACAGAGAAAAAGATTTTTGGAAATATTTTTAAAAAAATCACTAATGTGGTTTTAAAGTCAGTTTGCATTTTCTTTGCTGCCAACGCAGATTCCCACTGTTGTTCGCACTAGAAGGCAGTGCCTCCGTCTAGAAACAAAAGAGGTAGCCTAGGCATGTGGAAGTGTCGGCATGAATATTTTTTGTTACACAGTAACCATTTGGAGATGATATTTAAAGGCTGGGAACAGTAATGTTTCTGGCAGCTAGCTCTGGGCTTGATCTGTTGGTGGGGAGGTTAGTCCGAAGACACAGCTGGAAGTGGGGCTCGCTCTGGAAGGGTTTCCCCATAGGGCATCTCTGAACCAGCCATTTAGTTGCACAAACTCCTCTGTTGTTGCAGACGGCAGAATGGCTCCAAAAATAACGACGGAGCTGCTCCGGCAGCTGAGACAAGCCATGAGGAGCTGCGAGTCTGTGACAGAGCCGATTCAGGCCTACATCGTGCCGTCGGGTGACGCCCACCAGGTACCAGTGGAGATGCTGCTGCTGACGACTCATGGGTCTCCCTTTCTTTTTCAGTTCTTCCCGTCTCCCCCTCCGTCCCCGTCCCCCCCACCGCACCCCCAGTGTGTTTATAGGACTTCTAGTTGTCAATCTGCAACTAAGCAAGTCCTCCAAGTCCTGATAAAGGGTCTTAGGGTCTTGGGGTCTCACCAAATGCTCGTTTTGATTTGGCCCAGCCTTCCTTATTTCTAGTGACAATAAGTTTTGGAAGAATTAGTAGATTATAGAGGAGCCCAGTTCTTGGACCTTCTCTGTTTGTTGACGTCCTTTATCCTCACTCTCCCTAAATTCCCAAACCTTGGGTTTTTAACCGTGGTAGGGATTGGGGATGGTTCTGAATTTCACCCCTACTTCCTGCCATATTTGATAGAAGCAACTCAGTAAAGCATACTTTCTCCTGAGAACAACACTATTGATCTAAAAAGGAGAGAGTTGGGTTTGGAAAGGTGGGAACCTCATGTGATGGGGCAAGAGAGTAAAAGGATTCTAGGTTGTAACTCTTAGGTCAGCGAGCCCGCCAGCTAGTGTTTGCACACTGACACCTGGAGCACGGTACTTCAGGGACTGCAAAGAGGAATTTGAGATTCAGTTCCAGTGCTTACGGCTTTTTAGAGTAGACGAGACAAAATACAGTGATCAGTTCTTTCATAGAATTTTCCATACATATATCCTCTCCTCCCTAGCTACCTTAGCTATTGTCAAGGATACACAGATGAACATTGTCTCATCCCAAGAAGCATACAGTTCAGTAATGGAGGTAGGGTGTATGTTCAAATAGCTGTCTTACCAGGTAGAATGGGCTAGGTACCATCAAGCAAACTGGAACAGAAGAAGTTTGAAAATGAAAGGGGACCATGAGTGAGGGCTTTATGGGGCAGGGGAGGTATTAAAGCTGAACCCTGAAGGATGAGTGGTGTTTAGGCAAATAGCAGGGGAGGGAGGGAGGGACTCTAGACGGGAGGATTAGCAGGAGCAAAGGCAGAGAAGCAGGGAAGCTTAGAGTGCTTTTCAGAAATCACTTGGCAAGTTTCCCTGGCAAGAGCCCAGGAAAGAGAGAAGCAGTAGTGGGAAAAAGCCTGGTGTCTAGGTTTCTTGCCTTGCAGGTAAGAAAATCCACTTAGGAGTGCGTTGAGCCAGAGAAATATTCTTCATAAGCGGTTAGGGGCAACTGCAGGTGGGGAATAATGCTGTCCGAAGTCGTGCGGTGTCAGAGCCCCATTTGGCATAATCCGTGGGACGCGAGGGCAGGAATGCAGCCCGCCCTCAGCAAGAACTGCGCCGGAAGGAGTTTCAGCTCTTGATACAGATCATTATTTTTCTTTCGTAGGTGCCAATCTGGACATACTGATATCTCTGTATCTTAGTTTCAAGATAGCATATTAAACTAGGATATTCATTTAGAGCACTGGGTGAGAACGTGATTGGCATAATAGCTTGGTTTAGGCTATTGTATGGGGGTGGGTGTCATGTGGTGTAGACATGACTGATAGGGGTCCACTGTGATGGTGGGTGAAGCAGAAAAAGGACATTATTGTAAGGTGAGCCAAGATCATCCCCCAAAATGTCCATTTCAACTGGCTTCCTTTCTGCCCCTCTTCAGAGGTCCAGCCCACACGGTTAGGACACAGTTGCCAGGTTGGTGTTCATCTGAGGTCGGCCCCAAGCTTAGACCTTGGCCTGGAGACATGGGATTTCCTGGCCTCAGGAGCAAATTAAATGCTGAGATGAATAACCGAAAGGATTAGATGATTTGAAGCAACAACATGAAGCTTAGGATACTTAGCATGCCCCAAACGTGATGTTTAACATTCCTTTGTGTCTTCTAAGATGTTCTACCAAAAAAAAAAAAAGAAAAAGAAAGAAAGAAAAGGAGCTAAATGTGCACTGTGACATTCTAGGGAGGGGGTAAAAAGTATCCAACTTTATTCTACAGAATTCCCACTGAGGGGACTCTGGGATTTGATAGGATACCTTCATCTGCCCCATTACCTAGCCCTTTTCATATCTTGATAGATTAGAATGGGTTTTTCCAAAAGGATAGGAAGGGAAGATCTGTGTGTGAAGAGAGGCTCCTGGGAAGGTCTTGTCTGTGTGTTAGATGACAAGGCGGGATGAGAACACACGGTATCTGCAGAGAATGGCCGGTGGGTCCTCTTAGCTGGCACTCTGAGATAGCCGCTAGAGCTGGAAGGGAGAGGAGTGGCATATGAGGAAGTCTTGGAGGCTGGGGAGGTCAATGTTAGACGTAGTAGAGAGCGAGGAAGGAGAGGCTAGACTGATGAGGTTTAAGGTGGTTGTTGTTCGGTCCCGTCCAATCAGTTCCAATTCACAGCAACCCTGGGTCCGACAGAACGAAATGCTGCCCAGTCCTCCACCATCCTCGCCATTGTGCCTCTGTCTGAGTTCATTGTCACAGCCACTGGGCCATTCTATCTCATTGAGGGCCTTCCTCTTTTTCACTGTCCCTCCACTTTACCAAGCATGATGTCCTCCAGCGATTGACCTCTCCTGACAGCATTTCCAAAGTAGACGAGAAGTCTCACCATTCCTGCTTCTAAGGAGCATTCTGACTGCACTTCTTCCAAAACAGATGTGTTTATTCTTTTGGTAGTCCATGGCACTTTCAGTATTCTTTGGCAGCACCATAATTCAAATACATCGATTCTTCTTCAGTCCTCCTTACGCATGTCCAACTTTTACATGCATTGAAATACCATGGTTTGGGTGGCTTGTGCATACCTATTACTCAAAGTTACCTCCTCGCTTTTTAATGCTTTAATGCAATCTTATGCAGGAGATCCCCTCAATGCGTTGCATCATTTGACCTCTTGACAGCTGCTTCCTTGAGCATTGATTGTGGACCCTAGCAAGACAAAATCCTTGACAACTCCAGTCTCTTCTCCATTTATCATGACATTACCTATTGGTCTGCTTGTGAGCGTTTTGGTGGTCTTTACAGTGAGCTGTAATGTAAGCCGTACTAAGGGCTGCAATCCCCGATTTTCATCAAGTGCTGTCAGTTCTCTTCCCTTTCAGCAAGAAAGCCTGTGTCATTACGTATCGGGAGGCTTTACTCCCACAGGCATCCAGACTCCCATTCAGTGTCTTTATGGTTGACTCTGCTGTGAGAAGGCAGTTCTTCCCGAGTCATATTTTGATTACCTTCTGACCTCAGGGGCTCATCTTCTGACACGATCTCTTGACAGTGCTCAGCTTCAGAAACTCAGTGTTTCAATGCTCTCCAGAGGTTTTTCGCCGCTAGTTCCTCTGAAGTGGACAGCCTTTCCTTCTTCCTAGTCAGTTAGCGCTGCTGAAACTTGTTCACTTTGAGTGACCCTGCTGGTATATGAAATACTAGTAACATAGCTTCCAGTATCCCAGCAGCGCACAAGCCCCCACCGTACAGCAAACTGACAGGCCAATGGGGGAGGTTTAAGGTTGGGTTTCCTAACGGATCGCGTCTTTTCACCTCTGTTCTCCTCCAGCGTTTTCTAGAACAGATAAACCAGATTGACAAGCTTCATGAGAACTGAGGTTTTATCTTGAGCCATGGCTAATTGAGTAAGTAGATTGGGGAACATGGCTTGCACCCAAGTCATGGTAGAAACGGTAGCAAGGAGCGGACCTGGGGACCCCACTGTTGAAGAAGCTCAGCCCCTGTCCATTTCCTTGGGAGTTCCTTTCTTCCTGTCTTCCCCGGTCTCTTTTGTGGGCAGTCCCCTGCTTCCCCCAGCCTGTCAATCCTCAGAGCCACATGGATGCTAGGTGTCATGCCGTGGCCTCTGCTGGATCCACCAGTGGTGTATTGTGTCTCCGAGACCTCAGTGTGGAACTCCGGCTGAAGCCTCCTAGTGACTTTATTTGTGAACCTTGACCTCCAGGGCTGGCCTCATTGGACAGCATGATCTTTGGCCTGTGTGTGTTTCTGGGTAAGGGTGTGTTGGGCGTTTGTGGTGTCTGTATGTTGGTTTTCTTTGGCCTGGTGTTAGGATACAATCTGTATGTTCACTAGTAGGGGATGTTCTTGTAGCCAAGCCAAGTTCATCGTGATATTCTTAGGTCCTGGGCCTGCTCCTGAGCCAACTTTTTTTTGGCGGTCATAAAGCTGTGTTTTGGTCCAGTATCCCGTTTGCTCAGTGTCTGTCTTTCTGTTAGGGGGGAGCAAGTAGCCCCACATAATGCCTTGTTAAACGCTTGGAGGGTAGTGGTGCTGGTCAGACCGTAGCCAGTGACCAGTTCCCACTCCCTCCACTGCCTGCTAGGGATCCTAGACTCTCAGAATTGGACGGTTTCTCCCTAGATAAGGGAAAAAACTCCAAACCAAGCTCACTGCTATCGAGTGGGTACTGACTCACAGCGACCCTAGAGGACAGGGCAGAACTGCCCTTCTGGGGCTCTGAGACCAGAATTCTTCATGGGAGTAGAAAGCCCTATCTTTCTTCCGAGGAGGCTGGTGGCTTTCAAACTGCTGATCTCACGCATTGCAGCCCAGCGCGTAACCATTACACCACCAGGGAGGCTTTAATCGCAGAAAAAGATGTTTTCCTGTAACACTGAAAACTTAAGAGTCAGCTTTGCACAATATTAGCTGTTCCTCCTGTTGCTCACGCCCCTGATTCGGCGTCACAAATGCTAATTTTTCTATTCTGTTGTCTTCTCATTCCTCCCCCTTTCTGTCCCCTCCTTTCTTTTTTTTCTCTTTGTAATCGCTGTCCTTCCTAGTGCTGCAACCTAGCTGTCTACCTTGCAGGCATGGGGAACTGTCTTCTCTCTGGTGGACGTTTCCCAAGTGCTTGCTCAGGGCCAAGTGCCGAGGCAAAAGCAGAGAGCCTGCAGGCTGGCGGGCAGGGCCTCTAGGACGCCTGCCTGCAGCAGACACCAGACTGGCCACTTGTTAGCTGCTTGGCTGCGGCCAGATCACCTCAGCTCTCCAAGTGTCAGCTGAACTCTCTGGGTGTTCT